TTGGCCCACTGACAGCCACCTGCTTTCTATTTGCATGTCCTGGGTCAATTGAAATCTCTGCACACAATTCCAAGCCCTATGAGTGCTACCATTTACTAGTTTTTGCTATATCTAGTTCACTTAATGAAGTAGAGTAGTTCTTTGCTTTTCTACCTTGAATCTTAAAAGTTTGGGTACAGGCCTAGATTCACTAGGTTAGCCTGCTCTTCTTAGATGAAAACTTCCCAGAACGTGTTCCTTGGCTACTGACCTTCTATACCTCCCCGACCAAGTCTTGGCTTGAGAGACATCATCACTATACCTGGCTTAATGATTGCCCGCCCACTTATGCCAGAGTATTACCCAGATCTGATGCTTAACAATTTTAGGAAACAGTCTCATTGGTCAGAATCAATAAATTTCATTGAAAAGTTGCATTAATTATGTCATATTCTTTATTAGCTAGATTCTTTTGGTAGCAAACAATAGAAGTTTTTATCTTATTAGCATAATAAGAAAATGTGTTACTATAAAAGAAGAATATTTGGGTATCCCATAGAACCTAAAGGAAAGGAAAGTGGTTGAAATTCATTAATAACTTGGTCAAAAACCAACAAAAAATCTCTATTTGCTCCTTTGTGATTAGTTTATTCTTTCCTCTTACTGTAAACTAGCTTTCTTCACATGGAAGAGAATATGATATAAAAGGCAAGTCATTTGCCTTTTATAGTTTGAGTCACTCAAGAGAGATTGATTGTCTTAATTCTTTATAGTTTCAAAACACTTGCCTAGATTTACATAAAGACAAGCCAGGAAACTTTTGATTAAAAGGAAGGGTTTGTTTTGTTTTGTTTTGTTTTGTTTCCAGATTTGTTATGAATCTCTTTCCAGTTGAGAGAAATAAGCATATTGAAGGGGGAGGCCAGAATCTGCTGAGTCACCAGTTTGATTTAGGGGTCGGATTAAAGAGGATATCCAGTGTGAAGAGAGAAGGCATATATGGCAGAATAGAGTTAAGTGAGGGAAAAAAATTAGAGTGAACCATCAGGGAATTGGTTTTTAAGGTTCAGAAATCAAAGCAGATTAAACAAGGCATGGACTCTCATGGTTGCAAAAGGGAGTGAAGAAATAGCAGCCAGGGTGAGCTGTAAAATCTGGGATTACCAACTGGTGAGCCATGATTGGAATTCTACTACATTCTGTGTTCTATCACTTTGAATATTTATTCTCTGCTGAAATATATGTGCTGTTGTGTACCTAAAAAATTCCAAAATAGTTCTGTGAAAATGCTCTGTGAGGGGCCTACAAGTCTAGTGAAGCAGCACAGTGCTGTGTAGGAGCCCACCGTGGCATCCCCTTGGCACTCACACCAAGTATGATAGTTTCCCGTGTCAGATGAATGTGTGTGTCAGATGAATGTGTGTGTTCACACAATCCATACATCCATTTTATTCATGCATTGTTAGTGGCCTTCAGAGAAGTAGATATTAGTTGTGGCTTCTGGATCTTTTCAGGACCAGAACAATGAGCTTTCCATACAGCATAGATGTTGTACATCAGGCTTTATAGGCTCCACATCCTACTATTACTAAATTATTATTATTTTATTAAAGCTAGATTTAGTTAAGTGTTCATGACTAAATAAAAAAGGAGATGGGGCCAGATAGTTGTGTAGTAGGAGCTTACTCTGTGAGGCAGTCCTACATGAGAAGATTCTCTGTATCTGGAGACCTTCCTGAGTATGCCAGGCAGACACTTGCTCATGATCCAGGCTGGCTGAAGGCTGGAGGCAGATTGCTGTCACGACCCTGTTGGGGGTGCCATCCTTCTCTATTTGTCTCTATATAACTTGCTTATAGAAGAAACAGATGTGCTTTAAAAATAAAGAGGGGAGATAACTGTATATAAGGAAAGTTATCACAGTTCTGTTGGTAACATAAAAGAATTTTTTGGTTGTCTTAGAAAGGTTCTGGCTGACCTGGCAATGCAACAGTTAAATACAGTGCATCAGGAACTATATCTCTCATGGCCAACTGTGGTTCATATCCCAGCCCCTGCAGGTTGCTAAACACACCAGGCACACGTGTGCATGCTTCAAATCCTGACAGGAGGGTGCAATAAAAGAAAATATCACATGGCATGACCAGGCCCCTTCAGGGATTATCTCTCTCTCTCTCTGTCTCACTCTCTCTCTCTCTCTCTTGAGTACATGCACCGTTTGGCAATAAAAATATAAGAACAATAAAAATAAATACTTTAAAAAGCTTACAAAGATATATTCCTTTTTTTTATACCCTCATCTACACTTTATAGCTATATGTAGGCCAGAATTCTTGAGTACTTATTGAGCTCCTTCTATGAATCCAAGTGCTGTGCAGAATTCTAAAGCCATATGATCCTTGCCAATTTTCTTTTTGAGAGAGATTTTTGCTATAGGGCACATGAGCTCCCCAGAGAAAGACAGAGGAGACAAAGAGACAGAAAGTGAAAAATTATCCCTTGGGGATATAGCCATGCTGCAGCCCATTTCTACTCCATTCTCTTCTTGGGACTTTGGGCACACATGCACACATGTCCAGAATGAGTTTTAAGCCCCTGGGTCTAGGACTCAAACCATGGTCAACTACATGGAAGTCCAGTGATGTAACTATTACATCATCTGTTGGTCTCAATCCTTGCCAAGTTTTAAGCATAGACTCTTACTAGAAAGATCAAATTTACATACAGAAAATAGAAAATAGTGACATAAACATTCAAAAGTTTTAAATTTTATTGCATAAGAAATGACCTTCTGTATAAAATGTATTTCTGTAATACATTAATATAATCTATAAGAAGAAAAAAGATGGGATGGATGACCGCCCCAAATCAAACAAATACATATTTTTAAAAATTTATTTCTTCATTCTTTCATAAGAGAGAGAAAGAAAGAGAAACCAAGCAAGCACCCTCAGCAGGGTCACACACCATCCTTTCTCCATCATTCCCAGACAGCCACTATGGGCTTCTGCACACATGCACAGAGCATGTAAAGTCTACCAAGCAACCAACTTGGATTTTCCACATGGCTCCAGCATCGTGGAGTGGCACACCACTGCAGCTGGGCCTGAAACATATTATTAATCAGAGCTATCTTAGATAATTGGGGGAAATGCAGCTACTGGGTGTGATACTCAGGATCTTCAGTCAGGAACTGAATCACTTTTATTGGCCACGGGAAGTAGACAGGAAACATAGAAGAGATATCACTGAACTTAAAACAGAGCTGGCTCTGCAGAACAGCAGTAATGCATATTCATGAAAAGCCAGATCCCATGTGGCAATGGAAGCTTGAATCCCTAGCCTGGTCAGCCTGAAACACCCTGGACACAAATGCAAGTGCCCTGTATCCAGCACGCTGGAGGGGTAAATGAAAAGGGACTGCTGTGACTGGACCCTGTGGAGGATATACATCTCTCTCACATACACACATGCATAATCTCACATGAGCACACGTGTATTCTATCATGAATAAAAATAATACTAAAAACATAAAACAGTAAGAATGGAGCCTGGTTAGTGGTGCAGATTAGGACATGATACCCTATGAGGCAATGGGAAGATTACACTACCAGGAATCTGCTGAATTTCCAAATCACATGACCAAAAGTTGCTGAATCAACCTTGCAGTCATGCCTTCTGACTCCAAACTTCATATCTTTCTCCTACAACACACGTCTCTAACAAGCCCTATTCATGTGTTTGTGTGTGTGTGTGTGTGTGTGTGAGAGACAGCAAGAGAGAGATCCTGTGGAACTTTCTTCAAAGCTCCTATTTAGCCATAAGACAATTTCTGCTGTAATTATGAATATGCCATGAATATCTATTCAGTAGTTGACCCTGATGTAGATATGTAGACTAGGGTTATACTCACCATGTCCAGTGTTGTTGGTTAAGACATGGAATTTTGTATTATAAAACCTCTGAATTGCCTTTTGTTTTATCATTTGATTAGGATTCCACAGGCACAGATTGACATTAAAAAGCTGTTAACTCTGTTAAGTCCAGAGGGCACTGCTAATGAAATGTCCCAAAAGTTGAGTGTTTGCTGAAACCACCGTGTCGTATAGAGCAGCTCTCTATTAATCATGATGAGAGTATTTCCTCTATCTAAATGAAATCTATAATTTGGGAATGGAGATTAAAGATCCTCTGGGGGATGAAGGAAAAGTTGCTGTGAAAATTCTAGAATCAAGAAAATAAAGATAGACTACTCAATATTCATGAAGTCAGATTGGTGATGCAAATAGAGATTGCAATCTCTTATTTTCTAATGACTTGGCTTGTCGCACTCCTGAATCAGTTTTACACATATTCCTTCACAACTTTAAAGGGAACAACTACAAATTGTATGAGACTTTTTTAAAAAAAGGAAAGTCTAGCATATCCAATATGATTTCCTGCCATCTTTGACTAATTTTTAATTTTCTATCTAAAGATATCTAAGTATCTGATCGAAGGTACATAAATGACAAACAACATAATTCAGCATGCGTAGTACATAAATGTATGTTTAAGATGTTGATAAGTGAACCCTTGGTGCATTGATTATAACATACTCTCAAAAGGCAATTTAAAGGTAATTTAAAGGTAGTAGCTATAAAGGAGAAATCAAATTTCTTTAGCAAAATCATTTTACAAAGGAAAATTACAAATTTTAGCTCTCACTCAATTTATTAGAAATTCTTGCCTTGTACACAGCCCACAACCTCACCTCCTACACAGTTGTGTAGAATTTAATAGGAAATGAATGTAAATTCTGTGAATACTTAATTCATTTCATTATGTAGTAAATGCAATAGTAAACACAGGGGGAAGGTGTGGGAGCTCTGAGGCATTTCATTTACTCCCCAACTCCTGACATGGTGCCTGCACAGGTCTTGACAAAATGCTTGTTGAGATCATCATTAAATAAGTTAACTGAATCTGTCTCAGAGTATACTAATTTTTATTCAATTTTTTCTTTTCTACTGCTCTTTTAGGCCAGCCCTGCTCCTATAATCGTCAACACAGATACTTTGGATACAATTCCTTATGTAAGTAACATTTTTTATTAAGATTTTCTTTAAAAACTCTGGTAAAACTTAATCAGCTGAATTTTAAATTCAATATATACTCAGTTTCATCCAACCCAGATAATCTTATGAAATGATGTATAGATTTCACTAAGTGAATTTTCTTGTGCTATTTGCTAGATGTTGGCTAAGTCATGTATTTACTTCTCTTTCATTCATGCTTTCTAAAGCACAATGGTCCATTATGAGAAAAATAATGTAGACAATTTGGTTCAAATAATATGAGTTTGCTAGATGATTCTCTGAAAGAAATTGAACTATTTGTAGCAAACATGGACATACTTTGAGTTTCTTATTAAAGGAATATGTAAGTCAATTTGTGTGACAGAGCCTAAAATGTAAGTAATCAATAAATATTTGATGGATTTTGCTAATCTTCTAATAAGAATCAGGACAAAAGTATTGTCAAGGTAGAGTCTGTCTATACACAATGAAATGGATGTCTATACACAAAGCATGGAGCATGAGACACTAGGATCAGACAGATCAATGAAGCCTGAGATTCTCTACTTCCAACACAACTGCTCTGATGACCAGAGCTCCTGAGCACAGATCTAGCTGGGCAGGAAAGCTTGGAGCCTGGCAATAGGCCACAGCATGGGGAGTGTTTGACATTATGGAGGTTTAGCAAGACGTTGTGAGTAGGCCCTGTCTGATGGGTGTAGGATGATGATCAAAAAAGATGGGACAGTGATGGATGCATACAGAGAGGTAGTATGCATCAGGGAAGAAGGGCTTCAGGGATAATAGAACAAATAGAGTCTGGCCTTTGTTTAAATGAATAAAGCATGTGAAGCACTTAGAACAGTACCTGGTATAAGTTAAGTATTTGATAACTATTGGCTGTTCTCAGTCTCAGATTCTAACCTCAAATGCCTGCAAGAATCAAGAAAATCGAAACAAATGGAGCAGGCAGAGTAGACACTGCAGTCAATAGAAAGCACATGGGCCTCTAATGGGGGAGCTGCTACTTGGGTCTTATGTTATCAGATCATTCAATTTTTAAGAGAAGTTGAAAATTTATTTTTGTGTAAATATTTGCAATTCCAAAATACAGACAACTAACTTTCCGAAGTTCAAACACTGCAGGCCAAACAAAGTATGTGTAGCCTGTAGGTTGCCTTTCTGGAGATGTCTTCCTGAACTAGAAGTTCTAAGCAAATTCTGCAGGCTGGGACTTGGCCTTCTGGGACCAGAATGCTAAAACTGGAGTTCAGGGTTGGGACTTGATTACAGGAACAAGTGACTAAAACTGGGACACAGGGTCAGGACAAGAATAAAAGCAAACTTGACTTAATGCTGAATCACCTGAACTACTGAAGTAGGGCTTCTAAAATCTTTCTGAACAAGAGCAATTAGGGGCCAGACCGGAAATGGGGTTATTAAGCATATTGGTAGGAATCAAGTGGCCCCAGCTGTGGGAAGCAAAGAACTCCATAAAATCGAACAAAGCACTGAATTAAAGACAACTAAGGCCCCACTAGTGTTTTTCACTCTTTCTACTTTCCTTTACTTATAGGACATTTATATGGAGATTGCTGTATGTCTAACACTGTTTTAAGCACTTAACACATGTTAACTCATATACTCATAACTATAAGTTAGGTACTATTCATTTATCTATTTTACTGATGAGAAAACTGAGTTGTAAATAGGTTAAGTAACCTGCTTAAGTACTCAGATTAAGAGTCAGAGACAAGGGTGAAACCAAGTAGCCTAGCTAAAAAGTTGGAGATCTTACTTAACTTCTATCATGCTGCCCTTTGGGTTTCTTCCATCCTTCTCTTTTCTTCTTCTCAGAGTGGAAACAAAGTTTGCTTAGGTGAAAGATAACTGCCACAGAGGCTTCAGTGCTTTTGGGATAGAGATCCGAGTTTGTGTGTATGTGTATATATATATATTTTTTTACTTTATAAAAATACTGAGTTTATTTCACGTATTATTTTTTGTCTCCCCACCATTTCCATGTCTGACCTCCACTAGTATGTGTCCTATCATAGCATTCCATACATACTTAAAACCAAGTAAAAGGTGGAGTTCCATATTTAAAAACTAAGCAGGCATTTTTGGACAACACACAGAGTGAGAACTGTCCCTACCATGTTCGATAAATGTTGTCTGGGGTCCATGTATATATTAAGGATTCTACGTCCCAAACAAACATCTCCACTGTAGGCATTGGCAAAATAGATGAGCGGTGCTTTGGGAAGACATAGAGCAGAGAGAAGACTCTTGTAAACAGAAGAAGACTTTTGTAAACAGAACCATATCCTTCTGGTAGATCTATATTATTTCATAGAGTTCTCTTAGGGTTCTCATGACTTAACTGCCAGATGCCCTCATGCAGAAATAATTTATCAACAGCATCTAAGGATCTTGTACCAACATATCCAATTGGTAGTCCATCTAATTAACTAGTAAAGTAAGCCACATATAACAGAGTAATTAATGGCTTCCATTCTCCTAAACATCAGCCTTGTGCCTGATTTTGAGTTCTTCGAAGGGCTTTTTAATTTTTTTTTTTAAGTCTTCAAATTTTTTTGTACTTAATGCAACCTTCTTTGTGCTTTCTTAAGAATTGGGATCTCTAGGGAAGAAGCTTGGTATGGTGAAAATGTCTCAGTTCTCATGGCAGTATGTTCTGGAGCAATTCATTTAATCTTTCTGGACCTAAATTAATTTAAAGGACAGGATTTATTCCTACCTCAGAGACTACTATGAGGATCAAATGAGATTTTGATGTGAAACATGTTTTGCTAACTTCTGACTGATAGTGGTTTATTATCACTTTTTAAAAACAATTATGAAGTAACACATGCTAAACTCTAGGATGATGGTAAATATGAATAGTGCCCTGATGTAAAAGATATACACATTCATTATCTTGTGAAAGTGGCAGGGGTGGGATGTGAAACATGTTTTGCTAACTTCTGACTGATAGTGGTTTATTATCACTTTTTAAAAACAATTATGAAGTAACACATGCTAAACTCTAGGATGATGGTAAATATGAATAGTGCCCTGATGTAAAAGATATACACATTCATTATCTTGTGAAAGTGGCAGGTTCGGTGCACAGCCATTAACGTCGATACGCTTTGGTTCTTGGCGCTGTCCCAGCTCTCCCCTTTGTTCCTGATTCACTGGGTAACCTTGAACAAATCACTGTTCCTTTCACAGTCTATTTTCTCATTCCCCAGTGTTTTATACTTTGTTTTCCTCTTTTCTTTCTCATGTTCTAGTTGTGCACATAATTTCAGCTCTATTTAATGAAAAAAACGATTTCAGAGTTCCCCAGGGCATTTTAGTCATGTTGCATAAGGACATTTTCTTCTTTAAAAATATTACCTTAATGACAGGTTTCAACTTATATATTAAAGTCCTCCTTGAAAATAATTTTATTACAAGTAAGTGCATTAATTTTGCTGATTAGCAAATTTGATATTTTGGATATAATTCTTGTGGAATTAGCTCCTTGGCATACATTTAAGTGGTAATTGAATAACTGAAAGAAATATCTAGGGTCAAAGGGAATTTTTTGTAATTATTTTAACAAAAGTACAAAGCTATTTAGAAGAGATTTCTGTTTGTTTTGTTTTGTTTTCAAGAAAGTATGTTAAGGGACATTAGAGCTCTTAAATTAATGGAGAGGTCACTGAGGTCTTTATGTGAATGCCTGAAGTAAGCCCAGTCTTACAAAATGTTGAGATATTTTACAGTTGGCTAGGTTCTTACACCTGGCACAATCCAAATGGGAATCCCCTATATGAAAATTAAATTACTCAAGGAGAAGCAAGAACAGAAAAAAAATTTCCCTATTTTAACACTCCCTAGCTCCTTTTTTTAGTGCAGTCTTTTTATTCTTCCCTATATTTGTTGAATATTATACTGAAAATGCTGTTTTTAGGGATTTCAGAGTAAGGAGATCCTGCTTGTGATCTGTAAGTCCAGGTCCTAGAGACTGACTTAAAGGTACATAGTACCCTCCTAGTACTCTGCAGGCACCCAGCATGGTGCCTTCTCCCCCAGTATACTCCTTGGCTTCAGCAGACATGTCAGAGTTTTATTTTGAACACTTTCCAGATCAATCTCATTCTTTCTGCTTTAGAACAATAAAATTAATCACAGAGATTCTAATTTTTTTTAATCTTCTTTAGTATTCATTTACTAGTTTAATAATAAGTTTGATCTGTTCTCTGTAACTATACTGTGGTATACTGAGAATCACAACTTTTTTAAATCTCACTAAGTAACTTTGGGTTTAATTAATACAGCCCTCTCAGTTCATCTGATAGATATTCTAGCTAAACTAGTAAATGATCAAAATTGGTAGTCCTTTTCTACCATTTGCTAGAACTTCATCTACCAAGTTCTACCAATTACTGTTTCCTCATGTAACAGTCTTTTGTGTTTAGCCAAAAAAAAAAAAACCATGAAATCAATGGACTGTAACAACATGTTCACTAAGTGTTAGGCTGTTCACTAGCCCAACTGCTTTAGGATGTAGGATGTTGGACATCTCTGCTTCATATATTTCTTTCTGGGGTTCAGGAAGTAGGACAGTGGTTACCCAGAGTATGTACGTTATTCACAACATGATGGCCAAAGCCTTAAAAGAGGTCAGGCCCATGACACAACACAGTTATAGTCACTGCTCACATTACATTTGCTAACACCCAGCTGTCCAGAACAAGTTATACTGTCAAGCTCAAAGCAAAAAAAGAAGTGTATGTTTTCTAAACAATAAGCTAACTTACCATACTAAGGCCTTGTATCAAAAAACTAAGAATTCATATGAATCCTTGATGAAAAAGCAGGTACAAAAGAAAAAATCTTGCAGTTTAAAATATCAGTAGGTCACAAACATTAAACAATGAATGGTTCAGAGGTCTGGTTCAAAACGGTTTTTGTTTTGTTTTTAAGACAGATATTTTTGCTATTGCGCATGTGCACTCAGCAGA